TATCTAAATTCCTTAAAGCATTAAGACAATCATTAGTCGTATCTAACAAATCTTTCAAACCGGTAGAAGATTCTATGTTCAGACGTTTTTGAGCGAAAAGGCGTTTAAGAATACAATTTGCGAGATACTTTTTATTGTTGTACCTACGTTCTAACTGTTCCCAACACTGATTGTAGTTCGTATCTGACACTGGTACTTGCCGGACAAGTTGCTCGGCTTCGCCCGTGAGATGTCCTTTTAAATAGTGCATCTTTTGTACATTATCTAACGAACTGTTTTTGTGAACTAGCGACATAAACAAGTCTCTAAATGTTGTCCACTCTGAATACTTCCCAGAAAACGTGGGAATAGAAATTTTAGGTAATTTAACTTGAAACTCCTTAACGGAATTATTCGAATTCCGATTGACATGACTATCAGCATCATTATCATTTAAGAATGCTCAACTCTGCTTTATAATTGCAATAAAATTCTTCTACGATGTCATACAAGTCTCGTTTAATATACGCCGTTTCCGCTAACTTTGCACTATCTATCGTTTTGAACAATTGTTTATGGTTTTCGACAAATTCAAACCATATTTTATCTAAATTTTCTACTCTATTTTTAACATATGTACTAGTTTTTCTGTCCTTTGAACATTTTCTAAAATTAATTTCAGACTTATTCATTCGGCTGTATAATTCATCTTGTAATGCAATAAGATTCTCCATATTAAATGATTTTAGTATTAATACAAATAACACAACCAAAATAAACTAAGTCAATAAAATTACAAAATTATTCTAAGTCTTTTGCACTTTAAATTTTGGTGAAAATTGGGCATAGGTTCCCCGTTCCCTCGTTTTTTACACAATTATTCTAAGTCCTTAAATCTACACACAAATTTTTACAAATATTTTATGGTTAAAGTAAAGGAAATTTTTAATAATGGTTTCAAAGTTAAACAATTAATAGAAATAAAGTTCAAATTTGCTTGCATTAAATATACACTTTAAAAGTACTCACAGTTTGTTCTTCATCCACTTAACATTACCGAACTATTGTCGCACTGTACTGAATGACATCAAGTCATTCACGGGAACTGCTTGGTTGTCCTCTTCTCGCCACCACGTGGTGTGTGGCGCTGCTGATTAACGCCGACCTCTAAGTTGTCCTCGTCTCGCCACTGCGTGGTGGTGGCACTGCTGCTGTGTTGTCCTCCTTTCGCCACTACGAGTAGTGTGGCGCTGCTGCTCCACACTGAACTGAACTTGTGTACGCGAGCGCTCGCGCGATATGTACACACTGTACAGCACTCTTGATGGATATACTACCAAATCTTGCTTGCACTACGTGCCAGCAGATTTAAATAGTAATCCCCTAATTAATCAAGCCCGAATTCAAAAATAGCCAATTAACAATTCGGCTCGACTGGACCAAATGTTTGGACTAGCACTACTAAATGCCAAAGTGGCTTACGAAGGGATGATTTAATAAAACACTCCACAACGTATGTACTATGGTGTATTAAACTTCATGTTAATATACCATAGTACATACGTTGTGGAGTGTTTTATTAAATCATCCCTTCGTAAGCCACTTTGGCATTTAGTTCAGTGCTAGTCCAAACAATAGGTGTTCGGAAAACCGGTTTGTTCGGATAATCGAACTGTATTATTGTATGTACCAATATACTAACAAAAACATATTTCTAATATGTAATAAAAATTTAATCTATTACAGTTGTAATATAACCTAGAGCATTGATACGATTATTTACTTAACACAAGGTGCCGCTAATTCACGACGCGAGGCAAGTTTTTCGTGGCAAAGCAATTGAGTCCAGTTTCGTCAGGATTGTAAATGTTTTCTAAAACATAATTTTCTTGTTTCAATACATCGCTTAATTTGATTTTGAAATAATCAGCTGATGAAGAACCAGCAGATAGCTTTTTTCATTGTATTTGAAGCTCACGAATGCCTTCACGTGCTTGCTTGAAAGTTCGACGGCCCTCCAAGTTTTTCATTTAATGTTTTGCCTTTTCAGATAGAGCGGCATCATAGATAGGTTTTCCTTGTGATTTTTTGGGTAAATCACTTGTAAACAGCGTCATCGAGATTGGTGTTCGTGGCGAGCTTCATAGTTTTCCGACTTGTCGACCCATTGGTAAAATTATGTTTGGATACTAAAATACGACTACGGTCGTCTTTTGGTTTTTATATCCGTACTTGTCGACTTAACCACTTTGTACTTCTTAGATAAGTTTATAATAAGTTAAGTAATAGTAATAAGTTTAGTTGCAGATTCGGCTTTCTCTAATCGTTTGTTAATCTCCTATTTATCTTTTATGGAAAGAACAACACGTTTACGTTTAGGCATTTTAAATTGTGAACCAATAGTGCAAAATTAACACATAAGCGTATAGCGCTATCGGTACTGAATGTAGGCTAACACGGGAAACTGCGTGGAGAAGCGAGAAGGTGGTCGCATCCCAATGAGGTGCCGAGGCAACAGTTCGGTTAAGCCGTCGTTCGGTTAATCGACGTTCGGATAATCGACGTTCCACTGTAGTACCGAATCGATCCAGTGAATCGATATTTCACCATAGAAAATCGACATCGAATATTTTTTTGGTTTCATAAGAACTATTAAACTTTTTTCAATTATTTGAATGTACCCAAACTCGTAAAAAACGACAGTTTTTCTATTCAAAAACTAGCAAAACTGTGGTGTGCTCAGTTTCTTTCGCCTCTTATTAATGGATTAAAGAAATAAAAAATAAGTTTACTTTTGTAATCTGTACTTTATTTTTCAAAAATGTTTTGTGGTGAATCGATTCATCAGATTCAAATCGATTTAAAAATCGATCTTTTTCGGAAATATTCGACATCTCCTATTTTACTGTCCATATCGATGACTACTTTGCCGTGGAAGGAAAATGGGAGATCTCCCCCTGGGCAAGGTATTCAGTACATATACAGCGCCGTAACTTCGGAACTTTGCTAGCGCGATTTAGACTTTTTGTTTCGCTTGCGGCACTATAACAGCGCGGCCACAAGTGTTTATGAAATGTATCCTTAAGTTTTTTTAATTTATAAAAAACTAAAAAGTAGGCTCTTGTCGAATGCTGCTTTCACATGGTAGAGCCACTAAAATGAAATGAAATGAATGATTTTATGCAACGTAGATTATTATAAAATACTTATTGAAAGTAATTTTTTTAAATTACCACTGGTTCGCAAAAAAACCTCTGTCCTGGGAAAAACAAGCAAACCACTCTGCATAGACATAAAGACAGAAAGAAATAAGTCGGCTGAACCAGGAGAGAACCACGCTCACACAGAATACCAACGTAAAATAGCAGCTTCATGCTGCTGTGTTTAGTTTGTTGTTTTGCCGTAGCTCACATTGCTAACTGATAACTAACTGGTTGAAAAAGCAGGTCGTCTAAGTTACCTTAGATTGCCTAAAAGACAATGTCACATTTTTAGTAGAATCTTCCTTAGACTTGGCCTGCGTTTAACTAATAAACATATTATAGAATCAAAATTTAAGACTATTCATAACAAACGAGTTTTATGCGTAGTATGTAGTACGAGTATAAATGTAACGCGAGAGGTGTGTCAAAATTAGGCCTAATGTAAATATTTATTTTCTGCCTACCCCTTTGGGTGACGATAGTTTATGTATAACGGAGTACCGAGCTCCTTTGTGTTTTTAAAAAGTGTGACTAATGTTACCTCCATGGTGATCATTCATCTTCAATTTTCTAATGAAAACACTATAAGTATACTGAAAGCCTCGTTTATTCGACCGAAAGCGTAACGACGTACTTAGAGAGATGTACACTGTCCGACCGCCCGAGCGAGACTGCCCTAGCACACTTTTTGTTTTTTTTTTTGCGCCCGAAGCAAATATGGGCAACTCTCCGGAAAGCGGGGGAGGGAGGCGGTGAATGCTCATAGCATACCACGCAACCGGCTGCGTGGTTATGTGGAGACTTTTACCCACTAAACACCGCCTTTATGGATTGGCTTACCGATCTGACGAGAGATCTCTAAGCCATATACGAACGCGACCTTCCTTGGCAGAAAGGATGGCGCAAGCGGCGAAAAGCCGCTTAGAAGTGTGCCTAACTAAGGCAGATTAAGGGATGTGTTAAGTAGGCTCGGCCTGAGCCGCCAGGAGGCAGTTCAGGTCAGCCGAAAGCTTGTTGGCGGGGTCCGAGAGAGAGTTTCTCGGTCTGCGCACACTATAGCGAGTGTGGAGAGGGGTTGCATAGGCAGCTGTCTCACGAATGAGATGATTTGGGTGGGACTCTGAGGCTTTGAAAAATCTCTCAGAGAGTGATTTAAGGAACTGCTGAATTGTTGGGAGCTCTAAGTCGCGGTGTAGGTCGGCATTACGGACATAATAGGGCGAGTTAGGGGCCATACGACAGAATAGATTTTGAAATATTTGAAGTTCATTTATAACTTTGGGCTTAGCATGTGCGAAAATGGGGGCCGCGTAGGTCATGACAGGTTGTATGCAGACCTTATATAGGGTGGCTTGTTGCGGAGGAACATTTTACTGTGTCTGCCCAACACGCTGTTGAACCTACCCATGTAAAATCGCGCGGTGCGAGTAACCTTCTTGATATGGGGCTCGAAAGTGAGCCTTGAGTCAAGGGTGACGCCTAAGTATTTGGCTTTTGTTTGCCATGGGACAGGGGTTCCTAACATCCTGATGCCTAGCACGCTTTGTGCGGCCGTATTTATAGCGTGGCGGACACGTGCACACCGGTTTAAGTTAGGTATTTAATTATGTGAATCACAAGATATTTACATTGTAATAATCAAACAGTGATTAACTAATGGCTTATGAACTATTTTTAACATAATCAAATTATTAAACAGCGTAATTAATGATTAATCCTTATTATAATCGACGAACTATTGTTGTTGCGCCGATATGTATTATGTTATATGAATATAATTTAAAAAAAGGTACGAATATTAACTATGATATCTCGCAGGGAAACTATGTGAAAAATGTATCGATGAGACATGCAACTTTGAAGTGAAGATGGTTGGAGAGGATGACGACGGCTTAGAAGGTCTCTGTAATGGATTCTGCTTAAATGAGGTGTGTATATTACGGTTTCAAAATTAGACGCCTGATTAATTTATGTTGTTTTCTAAAAATAATTACGAAATTTTTAGAAAACAACATAAATTGCCTTTGATTGTATTTCGTTTTTTATTTATTCGCTTTGTATTTGTAGTCATCAATTCAATTATATTTATGTAACATATTTATTTTTAAAGTATTACTGAACGGTCTAGCTAACTGATTTTTGCTTACACGTGTGTTATTAGTCCACGTGCTAATGAACGATCAGTCCATTACCATCAAGCGAAGGAGCTACTCATAGCTTAACATTTGTACCTATCTACCTATATACTCATATCAATTTTCAGTTAATGGTGATAAAACTGTTATAATACCCTTTACCAAAAAGAAACGGTTGGATAAATTAGTCACACCAAAACTCAATGGTAAAGAAGTACAATAGTACTTCGATACAATAGTACGTCGATTGTTACCAGTACTTAACTTCAGTGGAGAATACTCCACTGAAGTTAAGTACTTGCGCGTAACAATCGACCAAAAACTAACATGGAACTCTTATCTTAGCAACGTGGCATACGTTACTAAAACGAAATAAGGCAAACATTACTTTAGGTTTAGTCGCATGGTCGGAAAGAACTGGGGCTTGCGTCTCAGTATGGTCCTATGGCTGTACAGCAGCATAGCGAGGCCGATTCTCACCTACGCCTCTACTTTCTGGTGCAACAAAGCCAACTAAAAGGCGACTGCAGACAGACTAACTAGTCTAGAAAGAACTGCTGCTTAATGGCAACTGGAGCTATGCGACCATCGCCTGGAGCAACTCTTAATGCACTTCACCCCTAACACCGCTTGATCTTTATCTAGGCAAGCAGGCGAGGGCTAATTTGTATAGGATCAACGCCCAGGGCGGTCTGAGCTTGCTCTCCTACAGATTGAGATCCATGTTCGACTCAATTAAGGAAACACCAGTCTTATACATGATCTCAGATATTACACGTTCACTATACACTTTTAATTAAAAGCATATAGTGGAACTACCCCCTGGAGAAGACTGGCTTAATGGCCAGGTTATCTGTGAGGTCGGTAGCCTCATATGATACACCGATGAGTCAAAAATGGGTCTCGACGTAGGCTTTGGAGTTTGTGGGGAACGCTCCAAATTCAAACTTAGTATGAATTTGCCCGCTGCCAGCGCGCTACGATTGCACTGTGCTTATTGTAGAGAGTTGTGCGCAGGGCACGTGCCGCGTAACGGGCGGGCGCGCCGTGTGCGCGTGCGGTGCGCACTGGAGCGGCGAGCGCTGCCAGCGTGTGGCGTGCCTGGACGCGGCCTGCACCTCACACCGCGCGCACGATACCTACGACGTGCACGATGACCACGCACCGCACGACAACGATCCGCACGACAACAAACCGCACGACAACGCTCCGCACGACAACACACCGCACGACAACGCTCCGCACGACAACACACCGCACGACAACGCACCGCACGGTGAGTACGCACTTTATAAATAACAAAAATAACAACTTGAATTACTATAGTCCGTTCGCGTTAAGAAAATAGTGAGTCATCAGTGCAACTACAGGGTAAAGGTGTATTCACAGTGGAGTAAAAATTCTCTTTTTTTCAAACATTTAATTAAGTTTAATGGATTTTTTTTAAAATACTTAAATCAATAATCAGTATCGCTAGATTCTCCAGTTACATTAATTATGAAAGAATTTTGTTTTGCAAGTTCCATGATGTCATCCAAATTCCACATGGTATTTTTTTCGCGTATCACGTGGTCGCAGCACTTCTTCCAACGATTAGCGTCTTTTAATGCTATCATCTTATTTTACATTTATGCATCATCTAATAATTTTTTATGTCGCTCATTTTGAACGTGGAGTTATTGGCACCAACATAATTTTTTATTTGGGCCCAAACCAATTCAATTGGATTAAGTTTGCAATGGTAAAGCGGTAGGCGAATAATTGTAATACCATTACTTTTGGCAGTCTCATCTATTAAATATTTATTATATTGTGGGGCGATTTTGGCAACTTTCATTAATAATTCTTTTTTTAAATAAGCCATGTCCAATGATTTGCCTTTGCTTTGCAGCCAATCTATTATTTGCTGCTTGTTCTAACTGGTTGTTGGTATTTTTAGACTTCTACCGAATGATAGGGAACGTTATCCATGACAACCACACTTCCTGGTTCTAGCTTAGGCATTATATTAATGAACCAATTAAGGAATCTTTCACCATCCGTCTCTTCATGATAGTCTTTTGTAGACTTAGATTCAAATACTAGTAGACCATTTTTCACGAATCCTTTGTCGCTGCCAGTGTGCAATACAATTAACCTTTTACCTTTTCCTGTCGGAGCTTTTGGACCGGCTGATAAGCCATCTAGAAAGGCTTGTCTTTTATTTTTTACCGTTGTATCCAACCATGCTTTTTTCTTTACGTGTCCAGCGTTTACCCACGTTTCGTCAAGATAGTAAATGGTTTTATTAGGCTCTGTATTCTTTTATTTGCCTCAGATATTTACGCCTCCATAAAACAATGTCTTCTCTTTCGACTAACAATGTTCTGCTATCCTGTTTATTGAAATCGAAACCAAGCTCGTGTATTATTTTATGAAGTGTGGTGCGTTTGAAAACAGAAATATCTTCGTCAGCTTCGCAAAGTGTCATAATTTTGTCCAATGTCGGGTAGTCGTTATTTAAATATGTATATTGAGTTAACTTTTCTCCTTATTGCACATTTGTCTAGTTCATCTAATTTATCGACCGTCGATAGTCGAGCTCTTTTTTTCACGGGTGATTTTAATGTGTTAGTATCCTTTTGTTCTTTAATAATTTTATAAACAGTATTTTCGCACACACCACATGCACTTGCTGTTTTTATTATTGTGGTCTCCACAGTCGCATTTAAATCATACAGTTTAAAGTACTTATAAACATTGTAAATTACGCGTCTCTCACCGCTATGGATTATTGATCCACTTTTATTCTTTCGAATAGGTGAGGTAATCATTTAATGTCGAACGAGTAACACGCAAAATACACAACCGTTTTGTTCGAAGGCCTGACTTCACTGGAGTAGTTAGGTTGTACCAGTTCTGGCGCACTTGTAGAAAGGTTGTACCAGTTCTGGCGCACGACGTTCGTCGACTCACAATCCTAAAAAAAAAAAAAAAGGTTTTGGCATGCTCTGATCACGAATCTGCGGTCCATTTTTACGTAGGATGCACGGTTCCGGAGATGAGCAGATCAATTAACTCTTATCTAATTGATATCCGCTACGAGCCTCAACCGTCATTAGCGCTCCATTGTCCTTATCTACTTATCTATTGTTGATTGACTACCGTCATTATCTATTATTCGTCAGCGTGTGGGTCGGCTTATGCTATTGTATTATACTCCTTTGTTCCTATCTACAACACTAATCTGAATCATCAATAAAACACATTACCTAATTTTGTTAAAATTTTTATTTATAAAATACAAATCTTATACTTATCTATAAAGGAGAAACATCTCATCCACAATATCAATTCTCACTCACATTAAATCCCTGAAACACAAAAACAATATTCGCCACAAACTGAAGTCCTATCAACATTCCAGTTCCATCTTTTAAACACATTACCTAATTTTGTTAAAATTTTTATTTATAAAATACAAAATCTTATTACTTATTATCTATAAAATAGGAGCGAAACATCTCATCCACTAAAATATCGTTGTACAATGTGTTCTCTGTAAATATACTCGTAAAACTATGCATTGAACATCCCTGAAACTTATATAGCAAATACATTAAGCAATATTCGCCACAAACTGAAGTCCACTCATTCTGAATCCTATCAACATTCCAGTTCCATCTTTTACAATTTCTTTTAAAAAACTCTAGATGATATCGTACAGGTGCCCGTCCGAATGAATCAAAATATTGACCGACGTCATTCGTATCGATATATAAAGCTACCCAATGTGACACTGGTTTATCATCTGTATCCAAATTGCATATTATATACGTTGGTACGTGGGTGTACATGGGTAGTTTATTGGCAGCATAAACATTATTTTCTAGAGTGGGGTGAATCTTTTTCAGATGTTGTTGTACATCTAGTGTATCCATAATATTACTGCTATTAGTAGATTATTACAGTACCAATCTACTCAATGACTAATATAGGAATGATCAATTATAGTGATATCTAAATATTAAATTGCTTTCTTTGTGTTATACAAAACGTATTTGAGTCACCAATACACTGAACAAGACACGACAGGAAGGACGTAGGAATGTAGAGATAAGCAACAGAATGTAAGGTAAGCTTGTTGACGCATAAAGATACTATCAATTCTACTGCAGAAATTCTTTAGATTAGAATTATTACTCACTGGTACTATATAAGACCAAGCAACTGCAGTCATGGAGTTAGTGTATGGTCGTTTGACCGCAGTGGATCTATCAATACTACGTTTGTGTTACTTCAACGCATCAAAGGCCATGGATGTAAGTGTTTATTCTATTGACAAACTTACTTTTCTTTCTGTTATTTTCTTACGTGTGTATGATTTAGTGTTAACAAATTATATTTAAATATTATGTGTGTGTATATGGTTAAGCCGTGGTAGCTCAGATGGTTAGCGCAAAATGTAAAATGCAAAGTACACGACCCGGGTTCGATCCCCGCCGGCACCAATTAAATTGTTAATTAAAATTTTAAGTGCTGATTTACCACGTGCTCAGCGGTGAAGGAAAACATCGTGAGGAATGCATGTCTGAGAAAATTTCGAAGGCATGTGAAGTTTGCCAACACGCATTGAGGTATCACAGCGAACATTTCCTAGCCCTAAAACCCTCTCAGAAATGAGAGGAGGCCTATGTTCAGCAGTGGACTTTAATAGGTTGTAACTTTAGCTTTTTTAACTTTTATGATTAAGTGTTAACAAATTGATATTAACATGATAACTGTGTTGTTGCAGAAATCATTGAGCTTCGATGAAAATACCTATAAACAGTATTACTACTCGCCACCCTCCCCTCAAGAAGAGAGTGATGACATCGTCATTAATAATAACACATGCGATGGTGGAAAAAGAAAATCGCAATCGATTGATCATTTTTTTGAAGCTGAATCAAAAATAAAAAAGAGGAAGCTGTTATCATCAACCGTAGCACGAGCCGCTAGAGATGGTGTATCATACATTTCTACACCGTAATTCTGACGACGGAGACCAAGCGACGCATCTCATCAAAATTGAAATGTACGATATGAAGAAGCTATCCAAGATTCCAACTACTGATCATTGGAAACATGCTTCCACGAGGATTAAATATTACGTAAAGACTAATAAGGATAGCATCTACGACAACACAAACGCCCTCGTATACAATATTACAAAGACAATAGCAGAAAGTGAAAAAGTTAAAAAATACTTTTTTAACAATGACAGTCATTAGCTGATCGTTAGTGAATGTGATTCTGTTTACTTAAATTACAGGAAGACAAGAGCAGAAGAAAGAGATGAGTGTGGCATACGTGTACAGAACACATCATTGAAGAACAAAACTACAACACTGAGTGGAGATGAAAACGAGAATATGCAGTACTCAAGAGCTGAATATCCATTCTTCAGTTCAAAATCTAGCCGGTTGCTCAGTTTCGAAAACTGGCCTCTCGTTATGCGACAGAAACCTGAAGATCTTGCAGAAGCCGGTTTCTTTTATACTGGCCATGCAGACAGGACCAAGTGTTTCCATTGTGGTGGTGGCTTAAAAGATTGGGAAGATGATGATGATCCTTGGCAGCAACATGTTCAGTGGTTTAGTCAGTGTGCTTATGTAAAATTTAAACTCGAACAGAGTTTTGTATTAGATTAAATAGAATATTTATAAAGAAATAAAAAATAATATATTGCATACAATTTGTTTTATTTAATTTTATAATGTTTCACATAGTTACATACACACAAAATGCATTACACATAACTCATAAAATCTAACACACAACACATATTATAACCTTAACTACTATAGTCTACAGTAACATTTCTGTTTTTATCTATCTCAATAATATTATCAAACTCAGCATAAACTATACAGTTAATTGTTTGTATTAGTGAGGATTCAAATCGTATTTTTAATCTTACACTACCATGCTTTATGAGATTCCAATGAGCTGATGAGTCGGCTGATAAATCAGGAGTTAAGTCAAATGCTAATAGACAGTAACCTTTGGCATACTGTTCACAAGAGATTCCATTTCCTTCATTAAGAAAGTGAATACCAGTTCCCGAGAATAGAGTATGATATGCTGATGTAAATATGCTATTATTAAAAGATGGTTGCAAAGCTTTTGAAGGTATTTGTTGACCATCAATATATAAGCTGAAAGAATTAATACCATAGTTTTCAAAGTTAAATGGATTTTTAGTAAGGGAACCATTAAATGCAGAATTGTTCACAAATCCAATTATACATCTTT